CAGATCATCCAGTAACTCCCCGGCCAAGGGGACGGATCTGCACCTCCTCCACGGATTTTTTTTTTTTTCTTTTTTCCTCCTGTCGCTTACATTATCCCGCTCTAAATATATCACTGAGACAGGGCTGACTCCTGACCTGGGCTTCAGCACCTCACTGAGGCTTCCCCAGCCCTTCCCGGAATCCCACAAATAAATCAGCCTCCTGGAGCCCTTTCCGAGCAGCTCCGTGCCGCTCACGGGACAGGACCTGCGTGGGGCGGGCACTGCCTTGATCCAGAGCAGAGATCAAAGAAGAGGTCTTGTTTTTATCTCTGGAATCGGGTGATAAATCTCTGCCACTGGTCCCTGGTTCCTTTCGGGGGAGCCCCTTCCCCTCCCTCGCTGCTCTCCCGGCATTTGCACAGCCCCCGGGCAGAGGAGAGCACAGCAGCTTAGATCCAGGTCAGGATTCATGCCTGAAAGCCTTTTTCATGCATTTCCTAACCCACCAGCCCCTGCCTTGTTCCTGCGGCTCAGCCGGACCCGCCGATGGTGGGATGATGCTGCAGCTCCTGCATCCGAGCAGGACTGTGCTCCGGGCCGGGGCTGCCATGGCCACTTCCCTCCCACCCTCACAGAGGAAAACTGGGTTTTGCCCCTCTCTGAGGTTTCCTGCACCCCAGGGATGAAGTTGTGGGGCCAAGTGGAATATCACCGCGATGGCTCGACACTCGGTGCTGCCATGGTGCACCCCAGCACCATCCCAGTCATCCCAGTGGTTCCCATCGGCAGGAACAGGGTGAGACTGTTCGCCCAGCCCAAAAATGAGCTTTTTCTAAAGCATTTGGCTTTAGAATTCTCTGGGTTTTGGTGCAAAACCCCTCCTGCCCCTCCCTAGTCCTGGGCACCTCCAGGACATCTGGGAATGACCAGTTTGGGTCCCGCCAGCAGCATTCATCCTTCCCCGTGCCGTGTCGGGAGGCTCACAGGAGGAGCTTTCCCTTCTCCTCTGCCATGTCCATCTTGGCTGTGGGACAGACGAAGAAAAGGAAGGTTTCCAGCCCAGGGGGGCACCGGCTCTGGCAGCCGCTCTCCTCCTCCCGCCCCTGCTCCATCTCAGCTTCTCCAGCCCATGTTTTTCACGGGGTATTTTCTCTCCCTGCACACAGACGGGCTCTGTTTGCCATTAGCTTCCCCTCCTCTGCCCTAGGAGCTGATCCGAGTGCTAATTCTCACGCATGTTTTGGGTAAATCTACTTTCTTTCCCGGGATGAATTGTGGTTTCCAAGCGCCATTAATCATTTCCCTTTAGAAAACAGCGTCAGGGGGCTGGAAACATTGCTCCTTTATTTACTGGGAGGATGACCTGGCACGCTGGCGCCCAGCCACGGGGCTGGCGTCTGCAGGACGACGCAGAGCAAAGCCTCGGGGTGAGCTCCCCTCCGTTGTGCCGGGATGACGGCGTTGGCTCCCACTGGGACCGTCCCCCCCCCCCGAGGACGAACCTCCTAGCCCCGAGGTTAGGGGCGAGCAAGAGGATGGAGGACTTTCCTGAGAGCCTCTTCCCGGAGGGGTCGTTCCCCAGGGAGCTTGTGTGCACCATGAGATGTGTCGTGGCGACGGCAGAAATGCCAACCCTGTTCTCTGCCTGCCCCAATGCCCCTCAAAATGTCTGGGGCATGAAATCAGGACCCTCCGCTTATCGCCCGCTGGCGGGGCTCGGGTGGGCAGGGAGTCAAAGGAAACTTCTCCTGCCCCGATTGCAGCGAGGGTAAAGAGGTGCAGCAAGCACATGTGAACGGTTTCCTCCTTTCCAGCTCAGGACTGTCAGAGGATGATTAATGGCCAATGCCGCAGAACTGCCTTGATTGCCAAGTGCTGTATTGTTAGCACTGACATGTAACGAGCCCGGACATACTTTAACACAATTCTGCACCGTAATCTGCAAATAACGTTCGATAGACTTAATTTGTTAAGTATTTCCCCCTTCACAGTCCCTCTCCCCACCTCCTTTCCCTTTCAAAGCCATGTCAGAGCAGCCAGGGGCCCGGCCGAGTGCCCCGCAGCCCCCCAGCCCCGCTGCAGCCCCAGCGCTTGCCGGGGATTGCCCTTGCCGGGCTCGGCTGCTCCTTTAGGTTTCGGCTAGGGAGCAGCTTTCTCTCTTCTCCCCAGCCAAACCAAAAATCAACTTTTTATGCACATTCAACCCTGTGCAAATTCAATCCCCTGCTGCTGCCGCCGCGCTCCGGTGGGAGCTGCAATAGTTACTGGCAATTTTGGGGTTCCGCCAGATGACTTTGGGGCTCCCCAGGCCAGTAAACAGGTCACCACGCCAGCTGGCACCGGGGTGAGAGGCCCCTTGCACCCCGAGCGGCTCCTGGCTCCCAGGTAAAAGGCCCGGCAGAGCCGCGGTGAGTTACAGCAGCTCACGGAGCACGATTCATCCTCCAGGCACTTTACAAACATCGTATTAAATAGTTATTAGGCATCACGGTTAGCGAAGGGATGGGTTTGCCTTTTAAAGCAGCTTCCCCCAGGAGTGCCGGAGCGGCCCAGCCCAGGGAGGTGAGTGGGGCTGTGCCGGAGGGTGCTGGGAGCACTGATGGGTGGGGATGGGGATGGGATGGGATGGGGATGGGGATGGGGATGGGGTGAAACTGTTGAGCAAGAGCTTTCCACTCCACCGCTCCGGCTGCACACAGAGGTAACCTTAAACGCCGAAGCAGGAACCGTGGGGACAGAGTTTTTCCACCCCTATTCACAACTGTCAGGCGGTGATTAATGGCCAACAGGCTCGAAATTGCCTTTATTGCCAGCCCGGCATTGTTACTTGTGACAGCTAATGAGGTTAGACAGACTTTTACACAGCGCTTTACGCGGGTCCCGGCGGAGCAGCCCCGGGGGGTTCGGTGCCCTGGGCGGGGGGACCCTCCCCGCTCCCCAGCAGCGACCAAGCCCGGGCACGTCCCGGGGGGGCTGCCAACCTGCCAGCCCCGGGTCGGGCCCCCACAGGCAGGCTGGGACCGTGCCTTAACGAGAGCGCCCAGGGACCTTCCAACTTGTCTCAATTAACTTCGCAGTAAAACCCGCGAGATATTTTTATACGGGCTGCGCTGCAGCGGGGCGGTGAGGAACAGGGCAGGGATGAAAAAGTTTTCAAGTGCCGGAGAGAAGTGAGTGTAATAAACCACTTGTTCATATAAAAAAGCCCGTGCTGTTAAAAAGCAGAGAGCCGCGGCACAGACACCACCGAATGTTCCTGGCTCCGGGTCCAGAAGTAATGATTTTTTTTGCCTCTTTTTTTTCTTTTTTCAGGATTATTACAAATAATATTTACCTTTGTGCTAGTTCACATCTTGATGCTGTTAAACACGTGGCCGCAGCTGGTTTCCCATTCAGGGTAATGATATAGCGCCGATGTTATGAAGCAAAACCTCGCCTGCGAGCCAGAACACCCCACATTTAAAAATCTATTACTTTTCAATATTATATGAATGTACTTTGCTTCAGCTCAGAGCAATTTCCTAGTTTACCCTTATTAAACTGAGAGGGGGCTGAGCAGAGGTTCTTGATTTATGAAACACATACTGGATTCATTAAAACCTTTAAAGATTTAATACATTTTATCAGGGTCTTAAATCTGGGCAAGCATTTAAAAAAAAAAAAAACCTAATACAGGGTGTATTTCATCTCTGGCACCCTTTTGCGCTTATTTAAGAGCTGTAAAATTTGGATTGACAAATATCGCGGATATTTCATTCCTTATTTCTAAACGGCGCTGAATCCTCCTGACAGGTTTGTTATATATAACCCTCGGAGATCTATCAAGTGTAAAGATCAAATTATTCTCCTTTATTGACACTTTATACATCTCTCCCATGTTTTTTAAGTCCCCTTCAACAATTATAGAGGTGGAAGATTTAATATGTTTCCGCCCGGCCTGTCGCTTCTCCCCTTATCGCCCCTCCGCCTGCCCGAACAAGGCCCAGACGGGGAGCAGGGGGCTCGGTCGTGGCGAGTGGGGGCCCGAGGAGCGGGGCCGTGGCGGGGCCCACGGGGGCCAGTGATGGCC